CGGCGCCTCCTCCTCGCAGCCCCCCAGAGCAGCGGCGCCTCCTCCTCGCAGCCCCCCAGAGCAGCGGCGCCTCCTCCTCGCAGCCCCCCAGTGCAGCGCCGCCCCCTCCTCGCAGCCCCCCAGAGCAGCGCCGCCCCCTCCTCACAGCCCCCCAGAGCAGCGCCGCCTCCTCCTCACAGCCCCCCAGAGCAGCGCCGCCTCCTCCTCACAGCCCCCCAGTGCAGCGCCGCCTCCTCCTCACAGCCCCCCAGAGCAGCGCCGCCTCCTCCTCACAGCCCCCCAGAGCAGCGCCGCCTCCTCCTCACAGCCCCCCAGAGCAGCGGCGCCTCCTCCTCACAGCCCCCCAGAGCAGCGCCGCCTCCTCCTCACAGCCCCCCAGAGCAGCGCCGCCCCCTCCTCACAGCCCCCCAGAGCAGCGCCGCCCCCTCCTCACAGCCCCCCAGAGCAGCGCCGCCTCCTCCTCACAGCCCCCCAGAGCAGCGCCGCCTCCTCCTCACAGCCCCCCAGAGCAGCGCCGCCTCCTCCTCACAGCCCCCCAGAGCAGCGGCGCCCCCTCCTCACAGCCCCCCAGAGCAGCGGCGCCTCCTCCTCACAGCCCCCCAGAGCAGCGGCGCCTCCTCCGCACAGCCCCCCAGAGCAGCGGCGCCTCCTCCTCACAGCCCCCCAGAGCAGTGGCTACCCCTCCTCACAGCCCCCCAGAGCAGCGCCGCCTCCTCCTCACAGCCCCCCAGAGCAGCGCCGCCTCCTCCTCACAGCCCCCCAGAGCAGCGCCGCCTCCTCCTCACAGCCCCCCAGAGCAGCGCCGCCTCCTCCTCACAGCCCCCCAGAGCAGCGCCGCCTCCTCCTCACAGCCCCCCAGAGCAGCGCCGCCCCCTCCTCACAGCCCCCCAGAGCAGCGGCGCCTCCTCCTCACAGCCCCCCAGAGCAGCGGCGCCTCCTCCTCACAGCCCCCCAGAGCAGCGGCGCCCCCTCCTCACAGCCCCCCAGAGCAGCGGCGCCCCCTCCTCACAGCCCCCCAGAGCAGCGGCGCCTCCTCCTCACAGCCCCCCAGAGCAGCGGCGCCTCCTCCTCACAGCCCCCCAGAGCAGCGGCGCCCCCTCCTCACAGCCCCCCAGAGCAGCGGCGCCCCCTCCTCACAGCCCCCCAGAGCAGCGGCGCCTCCTCCTCACAGCCCCCCAGAGCAGCGGCGCCTCCTCCTCACAGCCCCCCAGAGCAGCGGCGCCTCCTCCTCACAGCCCCCCAGAGCAGCGGCGCCTCCTCCTCACAGCCCCCCAGAGCAGGGGCGCCTCCTCCTCACAGCCCCCCAGAGCAGCGGCGCCTCCTCCTCACAGCCCCCCAGAGCAGGGGCGCCTCCTCCTCACAGCCCCCCAGAGCAGCGGCGCCTCCTCCTCACAGCCCCCCAGAGCAGCGGCGCCCCCTCCTCACAGCCCCCCTGAGCAGCGGCGCCCCCTCCTCACAGCCCCCCAGAGCAGCGGCGCCTCCTCCTCACAGCCCCCCAGAGCAGCGGCGCCTCCTCCTCACAGCCCCCCAGAGCAGGGGCGCCTCCTCCTCACAGCCCCCCAGAGCAGCGGCGCCTCCTCCTCACAGCCCCCCAGAGCAGGGGCGCCTCCTCCTCACAGCCCCCCAGAGCAGCGGCGCCTCCTCCTCACAGCCCCCCAGAGCAGCGGCGCCCCCTCCTCACAGCCCCCCTGAGCAGCGGCGCCCCCTCCTCACAGCCCCCCAGAGCAGCGGCGCCCTCTCCTCACAGCGCAGCGGCGCCTCCTCCTCACAGCCCCCAGAGCAGCGGCGCCTCCTCCTCACAGCCCCCCAGAGCAGCGCCGCCTCCTCCTCACAGCCCCCCAGAGCAGCGGCGCCTCCTCCTCACAGCCCCCCAGAGCAGCGGCGCCTCCTCCTCACAGCCCCCCAGAGCAGCGGCGCCTCCTCCTCACAGCCCCCCAGAGCAGCGGCGCCTCCTCCTCACAGCCCCCCAGAGCAGCGGCGCCTCCTCCTCACAGCCCCCCAGAGCAGCGGCGCCTCCTCCTCACAGCCCCCCAGAGCAGCGGCGCCCCCTCCTCACAGCCCCCCAGAGCAGCGGCGCCTCCTCCTCACAGCCCCCCAGAGCAGCGGCGCCTCCTCCTCACAGCCCCCCAGAGCAGCGCCGCCCCCTCCTCACAGCCCCCCAGAGCAGCGCCGCCCCCTCCTCACAGCCCCCCAGAGCAGCGGCGCCGCCTCCTCACAGCCCCCCAGAGCAGTGGCGCCTCCTCCTCACAGCCCCCCAGAGCAGCGCCGCCCCCTCCTCACAGCCCCCCAGAGCAGCGGCGCCGCCTCCTCACAGCCCCCCAGAGCTGCGGCGCCGCCTCCTCACAGCCCCCCAGAGCAGCGGCGCCTCCTCCTCACAGCCCCCCAGAGCAGCGGCGCCTCCTCCTCACAGCCCCCCAGAGCAGCGGCGCCCCCTCCTCACAGCCCCCCAGAGCAGCGGCGCCTCCTCCTCACAGCCCCCAGAGCAGCGGCGCCTCCTCCTCACAGCCCCCCAGAGCAGCGGCGCCTCCTCCTCACAGCCCCCCAGAGCAGTGGCGCCTCCTCCTCACAGCCCCCAAGAGCAGTGGCGCCTCCTCCTCACAGCCCCCCAGAGCAGCGCCGCCTCCTCCTCACAGCCCCCCAGAGCAGCGGCGCCTCCTCCTCACAGCCCCCCAGAGCAGCGGCGCCTCCTCCTCACAGCCCCCCAGAGCAGTGGCGCCTCCTCCTCACAGCCCCCCAGAGCAGCGGCGCCTCCTCCTCACAGCCCCCCAGAGCAGCGGCGCCTCCTCCTCACAGCCCCCCAGAGCAGCGGCGCCCCCTCCTCACAGCCCCCCAGAGCAGCGGCGCCTCCTCCTCACAGCCCCCAGAGCAGCGGCGCCTCCTCCTCACAGCCCCCCAGAGCAGCGGCGCCTCCTCCTCACAGCCCCCCAGAGCAGTGGCGCCTCCTCCTAACAGCCCCCAAGAGCAGTGGCGCCTCCTCCTCACAGCCCCCCAGAGCAGCGCCGCCTCCTCCTCACAGCCCCCCAGAGCAGCGGCGCCTCCTCCTCACAGCCCCCCAGAGCAGCGCCGCCCCCTCCTCGCAGCCCCCCAGAGCAGCGCCGCCCCCTCCTCACAGCCCCCCAGAGCAGCGGCGCCGCCTCCTCACAGCCCCCCAGAGCTGCGGCGCCGCCTCCTCACAGCCCCCCAGAGCAGCGGCGCCTCCTCCTCACAGCCCCCCAGAGCAGCGGCGCCTCCTCCTCACAGCCCCCCAGAGCAGCGGCGCCCCCTCCTCACAGCCCCCCAGAGCAGCGGCGCCTCCTCCTCACAGCCCCCAGAGCAGCGGCGCCTCCTCCTCACAGCCCCCCAGAGCAGCGGCGCCTCCTCCTCACAGCCCCCCAGAGCAGTGGCGCCTCCTCCTAACAGCCCCCAAGAGCAGTGGCGCCTCCTCCTCACAGCCCCCCAGAGCAGCGCCGCCTCCTCCTCACAGCCCCCCAGAGCAGCGGCGCCTCCTCCTCACAGCCCCCCAGAGCAGCGGCGCCTCCTCCTCACAGCCCCCCAGAGCAGTGGCGCCTCCTCCTCACAGCCCCCCAGAGCAGCGGCGCCTCCTCCTCACAGCCCCCCAGAGCAGCGGCGCCTCCTCCTCACAGCCCCCCAGAGCAGTGGCGCCCCCTCCCCACAGCCCCCCAAAGCAGCGGCGCCTCCTCCTCACAACCCCCCTTAGCAGCGGCGCCTCTCCCTCACAACCCCTCCAAAGCAGCGGCGCCTCTCCCTCGTGTCCGTCCCGTTGCTGACCAGTGGTCGCGTCTGAGGGAGCAGAACGCAGTTAGGGAGGCACACTTAAGGGGAGAGTTCACTAGGGTCCCTGAGGTGGCAGGAGGGCTCTGACGGGGGGGGAGTGGCGCCAGTGGCACCTGCAGTGGAAGGGAGTGCTGATGATGCTGCTGCTGGTGTGCGTGATGGCGCGATTAAGTGGGACGCTCGCTGCAGCAGCAGGTGCATGGAAGTGGCCCAACGAGTCTGCTGCCTTTTCCACCTCACAGCTAAGTTTCTACTGCCCATTCACTTACCCACATAGCATCCCCTCCGTTTTCTTGTGTCAGTGCATGTGCTTGCTAGCGCATGGCACTGGGGCGTTAGAGCTCATGCTAGAGTCGTATGGGGGTAGAATGCATGCATTCTCGTGCCCGCCTCTCTTTCTTTCCTAGCCCCCTTGTGTGCTAGCTCGCCACCCTAGTGCCCTGGGCTACCATCGCCTTTGTCCTCCACTCTCGTATTGCCATGCTTTTTTGTTGGTTTCTTTGCATCACACCTTGCTTTCATGTACCCTCGTTCCTTATTTTGTTGCTTTCATTTTCCCTGGCCATTTGCGTACTCGTGGGACTGACCCAATGCCATGCATCCCTGTTTCGTATGCCTGGAGCTCATCGCACCTGGCAGCGCCTGTCAACTTTGATGTGCATACCATGTGTGCCGGGCATGTGTTGATGCGATGTGTGCATGCCATGCGTGCTTGGCATGTGTTTATGCCTTGTGTGCATGCCATGCGTGCAAGCCATGTGTGCAATCCATATGTGCAAGCTATGTGTGCAAGCCATGTGTGGAAGCCATGTGTGCAAGCCATGTGTGGAAGCCATGTGTGCAGTGCAAGGCGTGTGAAGAGCAAGGGCGAGAATGGTGGGGTCGTCCTGAGCGCTCGTCTCCTCCGCTGTCGCCCCCACTGCGCCCATCCCTCATCCCATCTGCTCTCCGCTGCTGCTCTGCTCTCCGCTGCGCACCGCCGCCCCTGTCAAACGTGTCACTTGGGTAAGTCAGTCCTCTCTTCCTCACTCACCCCTCGCTGCCTCGTTTTACTGCTGCCATTGCTCTACGCTGCTGCTGCCATGCCCCTTCCCGCCCTCCCCACGCACTTGCCAGTCTCTAATCCTCGCATTTCACACCCTCCTCTCCTCTTCCTCCTCTTGCTCTTGCGCATGTTGCTTACCCATTGTTGCTTTCGCTCTGCCTTCACATTGGGTTAAGAATATATGCAGATCTATCCCCTTGGTAGTCAGTGTTTTTGCTCATCTCATTCCCTCAAGGCATGTGGAGTGCATCGCCTGCTGCTGCGCATGTGCGCATCGCTCTCGCCACAAGCGGGGTTGCCACAGAAGCATCTCCACAGTCTTTAGATTCCTCGCCACCCTCATCAATTTTTCTGCCAGCTACCCTCCTCCCCTGCATCTTCTCCCCCTCCTCCTTTCCCCGTGATTCCCCCCACCCTGTGCACTGCCGCAGACCACGGGGCGGAGGCGGAGGAGACGAGGCGTGCACGCGAGTGAGTGTGCTCAAGGCCACCAAGCAGGCGCTCACACGTGGCTGGCTCCCTCATGTGTGTCTGCGCCCTCATGCCGCACCACCACAAGGTCAGAGGGGGAAGGAAAGGGGAGAGTGGGGATGGGGAAGAGAGAGGGGGGGGGAAGGGGGGGGGGGTGGGAGAGGGGGATTTGTCTGTGGGGGTATGAGAGGTGGGGTTGGTGATTGGAAGCTGGAGACAGTGGGGGCAGGAGAGGGAGGGGAGGAGCGACGGGCGTCACATGTTCCATTGCTTGCTCTTTCTTGCTACTTTTTTGTCTCTGGACCATCACGGCCCTTCTTCCCATGCGCCTCAGCCCATGCACCCCCTCCCATCCCATTCGCCACGCTCTTCCCTCCCCTCACCTTGTCTATTTCCTTGCTCTGTGTCGTCGCCACTGCTTGCACTTCACCCCCCCTTCCTCCTTCCCTTCCCCTTTTTTACCTCATTCAAGCCTGCCTGTATCTGGGTGTGAGTGCTGTGTGCGTGGCGTGAGTGTGGTGTGAGATGTGTGTGACGTCCCTTCTGTGGTGTGTGCTGTCCCTTCTGTGGTGTGTGCTGTGTATTGTGTACTGTGTATGGGGTTGTGTATCTGGTGTGTGGTGTGTGTTTTGAACGTGGTGTGTGTGATGTGGGTGGTCTGTTTGTGTGTCTCTGTGTGTAGTATGTGGGGTGTGTGGTGTGTGAGGTGAGTATGGTGGTGTATGTATGTGGGTTGTGTAATGTGTGTGTGTGAGTGGTGTGTGGTGTGTGTGCTGTGTGTATGGTGTGAGGTGTTGAGTGCAAGGGGTAGACGGAGGCGGAGGAGCTGCAATGACGTGGCAGCTTGTGATTGGACTGGTGTTGCAGCACGTGCAACGTGGTGCTGCCACGGATGAACGGTAACTTGGAGCAGGCGCTCGTGGCGCAGCAGGTGCGGGGGATGGCAGCGATGGCTCTTGCACAAGGTGTGTCGCCTCCCCTATCATCGCCTCCCCTCATATTGTCTCCCCTCATTCGCACAGACTCCCCAGCGCTCACTCGCACTCTCTTGCACTTAATCACACTCGTACACTCAACAGCGCACATAAAGTCACGCACAATCACTCACACTCAGTCACACTCATTCGCACACAATCGCACTCACTCGCACCCACTTGCAACCACTCACGCATGTCCACACACTTGCACCTTATTCATTCGCACCCAACCACACTCTCTCACCCACCCACGCACCCATGCAACCACCCACACTCACCCAACCACCCGCCCATCCACCCATCCACCCACCCATCCTCCCATCCACCCACCCATCCACCCATCCACCCACCCAACCACCCATCCACCCATCCGCCCACCCATCAACACTTCCGCCCACCCACCCATCCACCCACCCACCCACACACCCACCCATCCACCCAACCACTCACCCACTCATTCACCCACCCATTCACCCACCCGCCCAACCACCCACCCACCCGGCCAACCACCCATCCGCGCACCCGCCCACTCCATCCATCCACCCGCCCACTCCATCCACCCACCCGCCCACTCCGTCCATCCACCCGCCCACTCCATCCACCCATCCGCCCACCCATTCATTTACCAAACCCACCCACCCACCCACCCACCCATCCACCCGCCCGCTCCATCCATCCACCCGCCCAATCCATCCACCCATCCGCCCACCCACCCACCCATTCATTTACCAAACCCACCCACACCCACCCACCCACCCACCCACCCACCCACCCACCCACCCACCCACCCCTCCACCCGCCCACTCCATCCCTCCACCCGCCCACTCCATCCATCCACCCGCCCACTCCATCCATCCACCCGCCCACTCCATCCATCCACCCGCCCACTCCATCCATCCACCCGCCCACTCCATCCATCCACCCGCCCACTCCATCCATCCACCCGCCCGCTCCATCCATCCACCCGCCCACTCCATCCATCCACCCGACCGCTCCATCCATCCACCCGCCCACTCCATCCATCCACCCACCCACCCACCCCTCCACCCGCCCACTCCATCCATCCACCCGCCCACTCCATCCATCCACCCGCCCACTCCATCCATCCACCTGCCCGCTCCACCCCTCCACCCGCCCACTCCATCCATCCACCCGCCCACTCCATCCATCCACCCGCCCACTCCATCCATCCACCCGCCCACTCCATCCATCCACCCGCCCACTCCATCCATCCACTCGCCCACTCCATCCATCCACCCGCCCACTCCATCCATCCACCCGCCCACTCCATCCATCCACCCGCCCACTCCATCCATCCACCCGCCCGCTCCATCCATCCACCCACCCACCCACACACCCACCCATCCACCCGCCCACTCCATCCATCCACCCGCCCACTCCATCCATCCACCCGCCCACTCCATCCATCCACCCGCCCGCTCCACCCCTCCACCCGCCCACTCCATCCATCCACCCGCCCACTCCATCCATCCACCCGCCCACTCCATCCATTCACCCGCCCACTCCATCCACCCACCCGCCCACTCCATCCATCCACTCGCCCACTCCATCCATCCACCCGCCCACTCCATCCATCCACCCGCCCACTCCATCCATCCACCCGCCCACTCCATCCATCCACCCGCCCGCTCCATCCATCCACCCGCCCACTCCATCCATCCACCTGCCCGCTCCACCCCTCCACCCGCCCACTCCATCCATCCACCCGCCCGCTCCATCCATCCACCCGCCCACTCCATCCATCCACCCGACCGCTCCATCCATCCACCCGCCCACTCCATCCATCCACCCGCCCACTCCATCCATCCACCCGCCCACTCCATCCATCCACCTGCCCGCTCCACCCCTCCACTCGCCCACTCCATCCATCCACCCGCCCACTCCATCCATCCACCCGCCCACTCCATCCATCCACCCGCCCACTCCATCCATCCACCCGCCCACTCCATCCATCCACCCGCCCACTCCATCCATCCACTCGCCCACTCCATCCATCCACCCGCCCACTCCATCCATCCACCCGCCCACTCCATCCATCCACCCGCCCACTCCATCCATCCACCCGCCCGCTCCATCCATCCGCCCGCCCGCTCCATCCGTCCACCCGCCCGCTCCATCCATCCACCCGCCCGCTCCATCCATCCACCCACTCACCCCATCCATCCACCTGCCCACTCCATCCACCCATCGGCGCACCCGCCCACTCCATCCGCGCACCCGCTCACTCCATCCATCCACCAGCCCACTCCATCAATCCACCCGCCCACTCCACCCATCCACCCGCCCACTCCACCCCTCCAGCCGCCCACTCCATCCATCCACCTGCCCACTCCATCCATCCACCCGCTAACTCCATCCATCCACCACCCCACTCCATCCATCCACCCGCCCACTCCACCCATCCACCCGCCCACTCCACCCGTCCACCCGCCCTCTCCATCCATCCACCCGCCCACTCCATCCATCCACCCGCCCACCCATCCACCCATCCGCGCACCCGCCCACTCCATCCGCGCACCCGCTCACTCCACCCATCCACCCGCCCACTCCACCCATCCACCCGCCCACTCCATCCATCCACCCGCCCACTCCATCCATCCACCCGCCCACTCCATCCATCCACCCGCCCACTCCACCCCTCCACCCGCCCACTCCACCCCTCCACCCGCCCACTCCATCCATCCACTCGCCCACTCCATCCATCCACCCGCCCACTCCATCCATCCACCCGCTCACTCCATCCATCCACCCGCCCACTCCATCCATCCACCCGCCCACTCCATCCATCCATCCGCCCACTCCACCCCTCCACCCGCCCACTCCACCCCTCCACCCGCCCACTCCATCCATCCACCCGCCCACTCCACCCATCCACCCGCCCACTCCACCCATCCACCCGCCCACTCCATCCATCCACCCGCCCACTCCACCCCTCCACCCGCCCACTCCATCCATCCACCCGCTCACTCCACCCATCCACCCGCTCACTCCACCCCTCCACCCGCCCACTCCATCCATCCACCCGCTCACTCCATCCATCCACCCGCCCACTCCATCCATCCACCCGCTCACTCCATCCATCCACCCGCCCACTCCATCCATCCACCCGCCCACTCCATCCACCCACCCGCGCTCCCGCCCACTCCATCCGCGCACCCGCTCACTCCATCCATCCACCCGTCCACTCCACCCATCCACCCGCCCACTCCATCCATCCACCCGCCCACTCCATCCATCCACCCGCCCACTCCATCCACCCATCCGCGCACCCGCCCACTCCATCCGCGCACCCGCCCACTCCATCCGCGCACCCGCTCACTCCATCCATCCACCCGCCCACTCCACCCATTCACCCGCCCACTCCATCCATCCACCCGCTCACTCCATCCATCCATCAGCCCACTCCATCCATCCACCCGCCCACTCCACCCATCCACCCGCTCACTCCACCCGTCCACCCGCCCACTCCATCCATCCACCCGCCCACCCCATCCATCCTTCCGCGCACCCGCCCACTCCATCCGCGCACCCGCTCACTCCACCCATCCACCCGCCCACTCCACCCATCCACCCGCCCACTCCATCCATCCACCCGCCCACTCCATCCATCCACCCGCCCACTCCATCCATCCACCCACCCACCCACCCCTCCACCCGCCCACTCCATCCATCCACCCGCCCGCTCCATCCATCCACCCGCCCACTCCATCCATCCACCTGCCCGCTCCACCCCTCCACCCGCCCACTCCATCCATCCACCCGCCCGCTCCATCCATCCACCCGCCCACTCCATCCATCCACCCGACCGCTCCATCCATCCACCCGCCCACTCCATCCATCCACCCGCCCACTCCATCCATCCACCCGCCCACTCCATCCATCCACCTGCCCGCTCCACCCCTCCACTCGCCCACTCCATCCATCCACCCGCCCACTCCATCCATCCACCCGCCCACTCCATCCATCCACCCGCCCACTCCATCCATCCACCCGCCCACTCCATCCATCCACCCGCCCACTCCATCCATCCACTCGCCCACTCCATCCATCCACCCGCCCACTCCATCCATCCACCCGCCCACTCCATCCATCCACCCGCCCACTCCATCCATCCACCCGCCCGCTCCATCCATCCGCCCGCCCGCTCCATCCGTCCACCCGCCCGCTCCATCCATCCACCCGCCCGCTCCATCCATCCACCCACTCACCCCATCCATCCACCTGCCCACTCCATCCACCCATCGGCGCACCCGCCCACTCCATCCGCGCACCCGCTCACTCCATCCATCCACCAGCCCACTCCATCAATCCACCCGCCCACTCCACCCATCCACCCGCCCACTCCACCCCTCCAGCCGCCCACTCCATCCATCCACCTGCCCACTCCATCCATCCACCCGCTAACTCCATCCATCCACCACCCCACTCCATCCATCCACCCGCCCACTCCACCCATCCACCCGCCCACTCCACCCGTCCACCCGCCCTCTCCATCCATCCACCCGCCCACTCCATCCATCCACCCGCCCACCCATCCACCCATCCGCGCACCCGCCCACTCCATCCGCGCACCCGCTCACTCCACCCATCCACCCGCCCACTCCACCCATCCACCCGCCCACTCCATCCATCCACCCGCCCACTCCATCCATCCACCCGCCCACTCCATCCATCCACCCGCCCACTCCACCCCTCCACCCGCCCACTCCACCCCTCCACCCGCCCACTCCATCCATCCACTCGCCCACTCCATCCATCCACCCGCCCACTCCATCCATCCACCCGCTCACTCCATCCATCCACCCGCCCACTCCATCCATCCACCCGCCCACTCCATCCATCCACCCGCCCACTCCACCCCTCCACCCGCCCACTCCACCCCTCCACCCGCCCACTCCATCCATC